AGCCATGTGGACTCCTTCTCAATCCCAGTCATGCTCACAGAACCAGGAACTCCTCTGAGATTTGAGGGAACTAACCCCTTCCCTACTACACAGGCACAGACCTCTTTTTCAGCAGATGTCTGGGGGGGTCCCAGAAGCTCCACTTACTACTGCAGGACAAGAGTGGGCCACCCTGGAACCCAAAGGCCTGATTAAAACCCTTGAACCACACTTACCTTCCAGCCTCAGTGTGCTTATCCAGAAAAGGGAGGTAATGACCCAGTGTGTAGTTTGGGGTGCTGCCAGGGCCTCCATGGTAATGAAATGAGTTGGGGCAGCCAGGGCTTGACCATCTACTCCATTCTCAAGTCTCTCCTCTTCCTTATAGCACCTTCATTATATGGAAAGGGAAAGCAAGGCCCAGAGAAGTCTGAGGTCTACTGTAGATCACATAGCAAATTGGGAAATGGAACCCAGATTTGAGTCTTGCACAGGGGTGGGACTCTAGGAAACTCCATGGATCATAGTGAGTTAAGCTGCACCTTGGCACCTGGTCCAGGCTGGGCGTATGTGTGTTGCTGGTTGGGGGGGTGGGTGTGACGGACAGGGTGTCAGGGGAGCTGGCGCTGCCGCCTCCCTGGTATTTTTAGCCTCGAGAATGAGCTGAGCTCAGGGCTCTGAGCAACCACCAGCAGTGAGGGAAATGGGAAGGTCCCCGCCACCCCTCCCTACCATCACCAGTGTGGAGCCAGGTTTAGGTAGAGGGGGGCAGCCTAGGAAAGAGCACAGAACCCAGGGGCTGGGAGCAATCAGGCCCTGAAACCCTGCACCCCAGCCCATCCCCATCTAGATCATCCTTCCAATGCACCCTTCCCATGGGGTGCATCATCACGCAGCCAAGCTGGCAAGGCCAAGCACCCTCATGTCATCCCCTGCTACCCTCAGCTTCCCCTGCTAGGAGCTCTGGGCCAGCTCCTTCCTGTGCAGCAGGTCAGAGCTATGAGGTTCCCATGACAACAGATGACAGCCACAGAGGCTGCTGGCCACAGGGTCAGGGGTGATGGGGTGTGGGTGTCAGAGCAGAGGAAGGGAGGAAGCCCAGCACGGAGGTGGGAGAGGAAGCTGTATTGAAGCACCCCCAAATTATAGCTCCTTCTTAATGTCTAAACCCCTAGGAAAGGCCTAGAAATTTGGCTGATTGATGCTGGAAAGGACTCCTTTGCATCGATTGGGAAGGCTAGACAAGGGGGCTGGTTATACCTTTGGTCGTGTGATCACAAAGCCAGCTACCAGGTTACAGCTTGGATGAAAATCCTAATCCCTTGCCTCTCAGCCCAGGACTCTGCTGACTCAAGACTAAGGTTTGGGGGGTAGGAGTTGGGACCCAGATGTCCCCAGGATGTGAACAAGTCCTGAAGCTCTCCAACCTGGCCATTCTGCAACTTGGATTCCCCATCCTGTAATGAGTGGTCAAGGCCCCAAAACAGATAGGTCACTTCTGGCAAGCCCAGCCCTCTAGTTCCTAATTAAGGGCACGTTTCCTTTGGAAGGGGGCATGGTAGGTAGCATGATCATGTTCTTCTGCTGACTCCCCAGCCCAGCCCCAGGGACCCAGAATGGGGGTGGGAATTTGCACTACAAACCCTGGTTGACTGAATGCCTCACTGCAGACTTAAGTTTCTTCAAAGGCTGTCCAGGTTCCAGAACCACATTGGCTCCCACTGTGCCTGAGACAAAATACAGTTCACTCATCCTGGAACTTGAGGTTGACACTGCAGTCCTGTGGCCTCCATGCAGTGTGGTCTCCTTACTGCTTGAATCTCTCCCAGGTAAGCAACACAGTCATTCAAGGCTCAGTTCTACTCACCCCTCCTCCAAGAAGCCTTCTTGGCTTTTCCCATCCACACAGATCTCTTGTTCACTGAGGGGTACAAGGCTTGAGAGATGACAAGGACATCACCCAAGATGTCTCATTCCATTCTCAGAGTATCTCTGGAAAGGGAAGCCAAGAGAGAGAAGCTTCTTGTAGAAGGGTATGCAGCCTGAGAATGTCAGCTTCGCTGCAAGTCCCTTTTTCTCTTGGGGACCCCTCTTGGCAGTCACCAGCCTGTGACTTTGCAGTTGGGATCCTCCAGCTGAGATCCAGGTCTTTCTCCAACTCCTTGTATATACAGGGCCACCTTGTGTTCTCTGGGCTTCCCAGGTGGTACAGTGGTAAAGAATCTGCCTGCCAATGCGGGAGACACAGGAGACTCAGGTTCGATCCCTGGGTTGGGAAAATCCTTCGGAGGAGGAAATGGCAACCCACTCCAGTATTCTTCCCTGAGAAATTCCCATGGACAGAGGAGCCTGGTGGGCTACAGTCCATGGGGTTGCAAAGAGTCAGACATGACTGAATGACTGAGCAGGCACGCACGCACGCACCGCATGTTCTCTACCTCCATTTCAGCTATTTATTTCACATTATTGAGTACCTAACATGTTCCAGGTAGACAAGTCCATCCCTTTGGAGCTCACTTTCTAGCCAGGAAGACCAGCAAGTGAACAGAGGAGGGTTCACTCAGTGTGATCTCAGTAGGGCTGTGATGGGGGCACCCAGGGCAGGGGGTGCAGAGAAGAGAGTTCTCCAGCTGGACCTACAGAGTCAAGGTGGATGCCAACCACAGCTCAGCATCCCTTAGGTTCTGCCTGCTTAGGAAACTGTACTCCCATACCTAACCTCAGTCCCATTGGCAGCAACCCCTGAAAGACAACTGGCTGAGAAAGACCAAAACCCAGGTCCCTGCCCGAGCGCTGTATCAGCCAGCAATCTCACTGTTTCTGCTGGGGCTCCCCTCCCTCCATTGTCTCCACAGACCCACCACGATGGTCAGAGGGGCTGGCTGGACCACGAGCCCAGCAGGCGTAGAACCAACAGATCCACTGCACCCCTCTTTCAGCCCCCTACCCCTCAGCTCTGCTCTGGGGATCAGTGGGGTCTAGCGGGTGGTAGGTAGACAGGCAAGGGTCAGAGCCCCGCCTCCCTCAGCTGCTGAGCCAAGCTGAGAACAGAGGAGGGAAAGAGGCCCCAGGATTGCTGCTTGGTCCTCAGGATCCCCAAAGGCCACAAGGAAGGGAAGAGAAAATGAGAAAGAACTCAGTCTTGGCTTCCCAAATCCTCCCACTCGTCAGAGCCACGGGGGCTGCAGGAGGCAGGGCGGGCTCCTGACACAGAACCCAGCGCCCCTCCTGGGGGTGGGGGTTGGAGCACTGGGCACCCTCGTGATGAGGCCGGCTGCAGGGCGATTAATCTTGTGAGGCCTGTGCGTCAGCCCCCCACTCTTCAGCCTCCCATGGTCAACCCCGCCCGCGCTGCCCCGGGAGTTAATCTCCGCTCGGGGGACTTCTCAGCCGCTGTCACGGCTGCATTAATTCTGAGGCAGAGGGAGGCAGGCAGGGGTGGCGGGGGGAGTGGATAGACTCCTTGGGAAGGTTTCGTGGTCAGCAGCTGGTGAGCAGGGGTCCCAAATAATGGGGCCTGTGTCCCCTTCAAGGCTCAGCCCTAGTTGAGAGGAGGAGGGGTGTCCGTATTACTCCCCTCAGACCACCAGAGCCCTTTTACCCCCTAGCCTCTAACCCTCAGCCGCCAGCTGAGCCCCAAATGCAGTTTGCAGTTTTGACGGCAGATGTCTCTCCTATTATGATTTATCAAAATGTTTAAGGTAAATAATGCACACAGATTCATAGGAGAGGAGGGGGTGGTGGAAAGTGGGAGGGACTGAAGGGGCCAGGGGGGTTTGGAGCCAAGGGCTCAGAGCACCTGTCCCCTGTCCCCTGTCCCCAACCCTCCCCACTCACGCCCAAGGCTTGACCCCAGCCTGGCCCTGGGAAAAGAGGGCTGGGGTGACATCAAGCCTACCCAGCAGTCTACCAGAACCTGGCCCCGGGGGTCAGGGAGCCGGTGGACCTGTCTTGCTGGGGCCCCGCCAGGCCTGGGAGGCGGCCACCTGGGGGAAGTGGTTGAGCCAGCCTCAGCCTCACACCTCAGCCTCGTTTCCATGGCTTCACTGCTTCCTGGCTCCCCAGGGCTCCGTCGCCTTATCAACGGCAGCAGCGGGCACTGCCCTTGCCCTCACCCTCGCAGTCACTCCCCCCGGACCCTGGCAGCTGCCTGTGAATCCCACTGCAGCCGAGCCAACTCAGCCACAGGCGGTGCCCCTTCCTGGGCAGCCTCAGAGCTGGGTGAGCGGCTGGGACGGTGATGGGGACAGGTCAGGGAGGGGCGGGGGTGTGTGGAAGGGCGGAGGCTTCTGTAGATTCAGGCTGCAGCCACTTCGGGCCCCCCTATACCTGATCTTGTCATTCCAGGGGAGGGGTCTGTGATCCTGGGTTCCCTTCTCATCCCCCACCCTCACTCCACACTGTGCTCTTTGTTTCCAAACCTTCTGGGCCTAAGGTTTGGTTAGAGAACTTTATTGGGCTTTCTGATTTGAAAAGCAATATGTATTTACTGAAAAAAAAAAAAAAAAGGAAAAAAAATAGTCAAAAAGTGCAGAAAAGTTTAAGTAAGTAATGCCTGACCCTAATCCTGCATCTGGGCAGGATCACAGGCAGCATGTGGGGTGGGGGTGTGTTCTTCCAGCCAAGCCTGAGGCATCACCAGGTATTTACAGGCCAGCTTCTGAAAGCAGAGGAACCTGGCTTTGTGATATTGTGTATGTCTCTCTACTTCTACCTCTCTGAACCTCAACTTTCTGATCTAGAAAATGTGATAACTGATCATTGCTGTCCTCACAGGGTTGTGAGGATTGAGTGAACTGGTAAATGCAACGGACTAGCCCAATGCCTAGCACACAGGCAATAAACGCTGCCTCTTGTGAGGCAGCGATGTCATCAGCACCTCTGACCAAGGGCAGAGATACAGAATATGCAGTTTCCAGCGGGCTGGGAAAAGAGGGCTCTTTCTGGTACGTTTCCCCTCACCTGTGACTGGTACTTCAACTAGAGCTGGAAACACACAAGAGAAAAAACATGCCCAGAAAGAGGAGATAATGTGTTTATTCAGTCCACGGAAGGTTTCTGGTGCCAGTGACGCCTCACTGAGCTACAGACCACAGCCCTGAAGCCAGGCCATGTCACCCAGAGTGGTCAGCAGTGATGGGGGGCACGGGGACACTAGACATGGCCTGCAGGGGCTAAGAAAGCTCCTGAGGAGGTAGCACCTGAAAGGGGAGGAAGGCATCAGTCAGGGAGGAGAAGGTTGCAGGAAACAGACTACATCTGAGAGACCAGAGCCCTCAACCCAAGCCCTGCCCCCAGCCCAGGCCAGGAGCTCTGGAGGACCTGGCGCCCCTCCCCTGGGCCCACCCCATCTTCACGCCCTGCTGCCTGGAATCTGAGGCAGCCCTTGTTCTCTGGCAGGAGGGGAATTTAATGCCGCTGAGGGATGGCAGGTCGACAGGCGAAGAGAGATGAAAGTGTCCGCTCTGGCAGCCGGGTCGGTGGCCTCGGGGGACCCTCCCATGCCCCCTCTATCTTCCTCAGCCGTTCTCCACTCGGTGTGGCAGGAGGAGCCCTCAAGGGGCCCTCGGGGGAGATGTGGACCTCGGGGGATAGGATTCCCTGCAGGGCTGTGTGAGCTTGGGGGGCAGCTCGGCCTCTCTGTGTCGCTTAACTGCCTGCAGGGTGCCTAGGCCAAGGTCTGTATTATTAACGTGCGGGTGGCTGCCTATCCCTCCCCCACCTTGGCTGTCATCAGCACTGCCTGTCAGTACAGGGTGGCGGGTGGGTGGGCGGTGGGGGGCCAGGGCCAAGTGAAGAGTGACCTCCATCCATCCATCTCCGGCACCTGGGAGGGAGTGGGAGCTGGGCTGCAATCGGGTCAGGCCGAAGTGGCCTTGAATGCAGCAGAGCCATGGGGCCGCCACCACCCCTCTGTGACAGCAGAGCTGGGCTGGCTCTGGGAGTGGAGGCTGGGGCCCCACGGCAGAATCTGCCTCCAGGCCCAGTTGGAGGTGCTACGGGTTTTGGCCCCATGAGGTGACCTTATTGCTCTGCAAAGCGCCCCACCAAGTGCCTCACCCTGTGGTCCCTGGTTATGTTGCCCTTGTTTCCTGGGAACAGAGAGGCAAGGGCATTTAGCCAAGGTCATCCACAAGGGCACACACACACATACACACATACACGCCAGAATGTGGCTTTGACACATAGTGACCAAGAAGAGTATGTCTAGACTCAGACTCCCAGGCCCTGCCTTCTTTCCCATCCATGGTAAAGAGTGATCCTCCCAGAGGCCTGGCACAGGCATCTGACAGCCAGGAGTCCAAGTTCCAATCAGGTCCCTTTACCATTTTGCTCTGTGACTTGGGTGTGTCCGCAACTCTCTCTGGGCTTCAGTTGCTCATCTGTAAAATAGATAATCCCTATCCTGATGATTTTCTGGAGCCAAAGAAGCAAATTTATTGAACAAGTTGAAACCATCCCAGATTGAAGACAGCCTCCAACTAGCCTTGGGCCAAGGAGAAGTACCCACACAGAGAGCCTAGTTCCTGGCCCACAGTCACCCAGTATATTACAGGGGCTGTCCTGCTTCCTTCTTCCTGCGCAAGACAAGGACAGTAGGCTCACAGCAGGGGGTCAGAGGCCCAGTCTGGCATGCTGAGTCAGGTTCAGGCCATGAAACAGGGGCTCCAGTTTGAGTGGGGGATAAGGGCAGCAAGGGACTAGGTCAGGCCAAACCCCACTGCTGTGGGGGGGAGGGGGCGCCTGGCAGGCTCTGGGCAGGCTGGGGTGGGGAGAGGCCTTTGGCGGCCACAGAGAACAAAGAGGCTGGGGTTGCCAGGATATTCTGCAGAGCTGAAGCCGGCGGTGGTGGGGCTGGGAGAGGGGCTGTGGTGGCCGTGGGAACCATGCCTGCTGCCCCCACGCCAGCTCCCCTACCCAGACTGGGCCTCAGGGCCAGGCTGGGGTAAGAGGGGCTGCCAGGGCCCTCGCTCTGTCCCCAGAGTGGCACGGCTGTCAGGGCAGAGACCCAGGAAATGCTGTAGACAAAAGACACATGGCACATAACGTGAGCATCACCGAGGCGAGCACAGGTGCACACCGACACACAATGTCATGAGCACACACCCAGGCAGCGTCACAAGGTCACAGCACGATCACAGACTGGCAGCACACACTCACACAGAATCCTGATACCAGTCCCAGGGCCGCACCCATGATGGCCACACAGACACAACATCGCAAACCGCAGAGAACCACCCAGAATCTTGTCTCAGGGTCATGAATACCATACAGTATATGTTGTATATTCAGTGCCACACATTCAGCTGTACAACCTGGTATCACACTGGGTCTGTTACAGGATTGAACAATGTCACAGGAGTATACATGCAGTGTCACAGAACATCCCAAAGTGTGGGGCCGCTGACATCACATTCTAATCCATGGCCACATGAGGTCTCACATCAGTCTACCACACACTGCACAGACCCATTTTCATAATGTCTCAGTGTCACATATAGCCACATTGCTGTGCAAGCCCTCATGTGGTTGTCAGGGCCTTGAAGCATCTCTTTCTCTCTCTCTCTCTCTCACACATACACACACACAGAGCTACATGGAGTCTGGTTTTATCTCCAACTCCAGGTGCGCTCACTTCCAGCCTCTCCAACCACCCCCTGCCATCCAAGCGGGGGTACAGGGTACTTGAGGTAAAGCTCCCAGGTCACCAGGAGGTCAGGCTCCCAACTGTAGCATAAGGGAGCTGAGGGCACCCCCAGGGAGGGGAATTGGACATTCAGCTCCACAGGGGAGCCCGCCTCTAAGACCTTCTCTGTCAGATGGGAGAGCAGCAGGGGTGAGCCCACAACAGAAAGACAGAAGTGAGAGATACAGGGAGAGACAGAAGAGACACTTGGAGACAGAGGTGCATGGGAAGGTGATGAAACACAGAAAAAGGAGTCAGAAGCAAGCAAAGACCACCAAGACACAGAGCCAGATAGAAACAGGCAGAGACAGGGAATCCCCTGGTGGACTGGGGGTCCCTCAGTGCTTCCATCACTGGGGCTGGGGTTCAGTCCCTGGTTAGGGAGCTATGACCTCCACAAGCTGCATAGTGTGACCAAAAATAATATTAAAAAAAAAAAAAACACAGAAAGAAAGAGGCGGACATGCGGGAGCAGGGTCCAGGACTGGGGCAGCAGCTAGGCCACTCTGGAGAGATGGGAGGTGGGGTGGCTGGGCTTTAGGGAGAATGCACCCCCTGAGGTGGGGGACATCTTGGTTAGATTTAGATGCATAATAGTTTTAAAATAACAGCACCAGCTACTATTGACGGAGTGCTTACAAGGAGCCAGGCCCTTCCCTAGAGTGATATCATTTCATCCTCAGGCAACTTGATGGGGGATTATGATTGTCCCCATTTCCCAGATGAGGTAACTGAGGTCTCATGTGTTCAACCTCACAGTCATCCCCACCCCTGCCTAGGCCTGCCCTCTCCACAAAGCACAGCCCAAGAGGATGAAGTTGGAAGAGGTGCAGGGCCTCAGACTCCAGGTTTCTGTGATGGAGGGTGAGCCCAGGAGCTGGGCTGCGGGCTGGCACACGAAAAGGGGACAGGCTGGCTGAGTCACGGCATACCCCCCTTGGGGCTGGCACCAGAGCCATCCACCCCACACCTGTAGGCATGCCAACGAGGGCTGGCCGAGGCCATCTGCGGCCCATGCACTGCCAGCAGCCAGGCGGGGGCAGGCCAGGGCCTCCTGCCCGGGTGCCCCCTGCTGGCCAGGCTTCCCATCCCCACTCCCCCAAGGAGGACCCTCCCTGTCCCCAGAAGCTTCTGCAGGTGCTGCAGTTTGCCTTGCGCAGGGGGTGAGGGTGCCCTGGGCTATAACACCTCCCCCTGCTCCCGGCTGGACGCCCCCCTTCGGCAGAGCCGCCTGGAGAGATCACAGGCAGCCACATGAAAGGGAATTTTTCCCAGGCAGAGATGAAGTTGAAAGCTGCCTCCCACCACCCCGCCTGCCCCTGCTGTGCCCGGCCAGGCTGCTGAGCTCCGGGTGCTCGGAGGGAGCTTGTGACACCTGGGGAGGGGTCGGGGGGTCAGAGCCCCCACCCAACTTGGCTGCTTTCTCTCCTCCCAGAAACAATAGCAGACACATTCCACCCACCTGACCGCCCACTTGGCTTCAGAAGTTGCCCCTTCCATCATCTGAAAAGCCCTCACCCACCTGAAGCCAGGCTCCAATGTTGTCAGGAAGTTCTTCCTTGAGTCTAGCTCCATCTCAGCCAGGCTCAAAGCTGCTGGGTGGGAAGAGCCCTCCTGGTCGAGTGGATGATGGTTGCATCCTGCACATACCAGCCTCTGTGATGTCCAGGGGTGGGGCATGCAGGGCAGCTGCCACCCTCTTCCTGTTCAGGCTGCCCTGGCCTAGACCATGTGGTTGTGGTGACTTCCCCAGACACCTGGCCTCAGAGGCCCCAACCTTGTGCCAACAGTCTTTCTGGAGGGAGCAGGGAAGAGGGGAGGGTGGGGTGTAGACAAGAGCCCAAGCCTGGGACACCTCCAGGCCCCACTCCAGCAGCTCTAAAGGGGGGTATGTGGGGGTAGTTGGGAGGGGTGTCTGTGTGTGTGCATGCTGGGCACAGCCAGGTCCCCATGAACCTGGGCTGAAACTGCCCCTTGCAGCTTCACTTTTCTAGATCCTTGCAAGGATGAAGAAATGAGAACCTGAACAGGCAGCTCAGGCCCCACCCCCAGCCAGAACTGCTGGCTACTCTACACTGATCGGACCTGGTGACTTGAGGTGAACAGAGAATGTGGCCCCAGGTAAGTGATGGTCCCTGGCAGTCCAGGTTTCAGCAGGGGGTGGGGGACCCAATCAGGCAGGTGAGGTGCTCCAGTACCGGCCACTTCCAGATTTAAGAGCATTTTCATCCTGTCCGCCAGGATGGCTGCTCTGGCTTGCCCCATTTCTGGATCCAGTGAAGACCTCACTTCCAGTCCTTCCTCCTTCCCAAGGTCGTCCCAGACAACCCCTGCCCAGCAACAGCCCCCAAGCCAGGCCCCAAAACCGGACAGCAAGAAGCCAGTGGTGTTCCGTGACACAAACATGCATTCGTTTTATTCACAAAACAGCCTGGTTTCCTAAAACAATACAAACAGCATGTTCATCAGCAGGAAGCTGGCCATGGGCAAGGGGGCCCAGGCCACAGGGGGCCCCTGGGCACCCGCCCCCACTGGCAGGGGGCCACGCAGAGAAGTCCTTTCTTCTGTTGCCATCAGTGAGGCCAGAAAAAAGGACTTATTTTCTCCAAGGTAAGTAGCCAGGATCAGAAATAGAGACATGGGCTCCCCAGATCTCAATGGATAAATGAACAGAACTTTCATTTTTGCAAAATCATCACAGTTAGGGGTGGGGGGGCTCCCATTCTGGGGCCCGTGGGTGCCCCGGGGGTGGGTGGGCTGCCCCCTCCCGCGCTGTGAGCACCTAGCGGCAGCTCCACACGCATGGATGGATACAGAGGGGCTTCGACACGGCGCCATCAACATTCTCTTTATAAACATGAGTGGATTCTCCAGGCAAACTATGCACTATTTCATGGTCGGAAAGAATCAAAGGAAGTTTAAATGAGGGTGGAGTTAAACTGTGCTAAATTACAGTAGTGCTTATTAGTAACTAGATTTCAAAAGGTTACAGAAAATTTACATTCTCTACACAAAAACTGCATCTCCTGCACAGACAACATCGACATCGACACAGGAAGGAAACTGATTGTCCATTCTTTGCCCAGGAAGTCTCGGTACTTTATAGATTCGTCTTTACCTCTTTTTTTTGTTGTTGTTGTTGCTGTTGTTCTTCCAAAAAAAGCAGTTAAATTTTTTTTGTTTTTCTTTTTTATACGAGGGACGTGGAGATGTTAAAACGACAACAAAAAATATATATATAAAAACAGGAATGAAATCTGTGAGAGAATATTTTTGGTTCTAAAGACGGGTGCATCCGTTTGTCTTCGCCCGAATCCCTTGCCGGAGACCGCACGAGCAGTGACATTGCACGCAGAGGGCAGCTTTGGGTTCGCGCCGCCGTCACTGAAACCACCGGAAGGCGGCTCCCGTCGGAAGCATCACCTTCTGGCGGGGGCGGGAGACAAAAACAAGGAGAGAGTTCAGTCAGGGTCCGGCTGGGCCTGGCGCAAAGACGTTCCCCCGTGGAGGGCCTCCTGGCGGAGGGATGGGCATGGAGTAAAAGCAGCCACCCCGTGGAGTTCCTGCCATCCGGGCCAGGCCAGAGCCGCCTGACCCACTGGCCACCGCAGGGCCTGGAGCACCCGGAGCACCCTGAGGCCGGCTGAGCCACTGTGCCCAGGAACCCTCCTTCCGGACAGGAAGACCCCTGTCCCTGGTCCAGAAGCCGCAAGCGCCAGGTGGCCATGGTGCCTCTAGGAGTTGTGTTCACATTTCTGTTGAATGAGCATGTACGCATGTGCACTGGACGCACATGAGGATGTGTGCCTTGAGCTATGCTACAGTGTGTAGTGTGTCTGGAGCTGTGTGAGGTGGAAGGATGCTTGCTGTGTTTATTCAGAGGCTGCGTCTATAATAAGGCTGTGTACAAGGCAGGATGTGTGTGTGTGTTATCTGTCTGTCTCTACACAAGAGGAGAGTGGGTGCCTTTGTGTGCATCCAGGTATGTTCTCTGGGCAGGAGAGCAGACATATGAGGTTTAGAGCTGGGTGAGGTGGAGGGGATAGCCACGCTGGGGTGCCATTATCATTTTGCAACCATTTTGGACATTTGCGTCAAGCCCATTTGCAGAGGGGCAGGGCAGGGCAGGGACAGCAGGCTGAAAAGATGCTTTTGTACTCAGGCCTGGCATCACAGTGAAGCTGTCATGGCTGGGGACATGAGGACAGGCCCTGCCACAAGGATGGAGAGAAAGCATCACAGGAACCTCTCTGCCTTCTCAGAACCAATCCACAGTGCACAAGCTTTGCCCACATCCCAGGCTCAAGCCACCTCCCAGGCCCATAGGAACCCTGGCCATTAACTATGCAGCCAGACTGAACTTGGGGCCTCCAGGTACCCCAAGTCTGTCAGTTAGATGCCTAGAGCTAGGGTTTTCCAGGCTTCAGAGCACAGCAGTCAGCACTGGAGCTGCTCTATTCCTGGGTGGCCTTGGGAGAAGCTGGGCTCTGAAGGGGCAAACGGAGGGCTTATCCCTCAAACCTAGAGGATCTATAGGACAGAACCCCTCAAATGGGGCAGGGGAGTCTCCCAGAATCTTAGGTCACAAACTGGAAGCTTTAAGACATGTCTGAAAGTCGGAGACTTAGGACCTGTGTGGGAATCTCAGTACCTGACCCAGAACTCTGGGTGGTGCTGAGGGGATGGGATGGGAGGTGGGTGTGTGGCATTCGAAGTCCTGGGGCCTGGAGGGAATGCTAGGCCCCCGTGTGAAATTACGTGCTTGCCTAGGTTGCAGACTACAACCTAAGGGCATCTTGGGATGTGGCTCTAACTCTCGGGGCAGTGAACTGGTGTCTTGGAGCCTGGCCTAGAACTCCAGAGCCCAGGGACAGCTGGGCATCCCCGACACAGGCCCAAGCAGGAAAGGTGGGGATGGGGGTGGGGGTGGGTTTGGACTGCCAGACAGACGCAAGAGCCCACACACCTCCCTCTAAGGCGCCGTTACCTCCAGAGCAGCGGAAGGCTTCTTTTTGAGTTCCTCACATTTTCTGAATTTGCAAATCTGATGGCCAGTCTTTCGGTTCCTACAACTGCTGCACTGCTCGCAGTTGATGCGCCGCCGGCAGGGCGCACACATGCCGCAGCGTTTCCGCTTCTTCTTGCCTGAGCTGATGGCGGAGGCCAGCTCTCCCTGCATGGGGTACTCGGCCAGGCCGGCCATGTGCAGCGCGCTCTCAGCCAGGAACACGCCCGCGGGGGTCATGATGAAGAGGCCCGGGTTGATGGGAAAGGCGCCCAGGTAGGGGAAGTCGGACTGGCCGTTGAGGGCTTCAGCCCCCGCCACAGCCTCCATGTCGGGCAGGCCGGCACCCGCCTCGCTCATCAGCGGTAGGTGCTCCTGCACCACGCGCTTCAGCATCTCCGTGGACTGCGCAAACTGCTGCAGCGTCAGCTGTCCCTCGGCCGCCAGCTCCGTGGCGCGCTCCGCCTTGCTCAGCAGGCTGGCCACAGCACCGCTTTTGTGCTTTGAGGTAGAGTTGCTTTTGTCCACAGCCATGGCCGCCGCCAGGTCGTGCCCGTTGGCCAACAGGGAGGCGGCAGCTGCGGCCGCCTTTTCGGCCGACTCCCCGCCCATCATGCTCCCGCCGCCACTGCCGCCGCTGCCCCCAAACGAAGAGTAGTGGGAGAGGGGGCGGGAGCGGCGCAAGCTCTTGTTGAGGGGTTCACTGATGATGCCGCTCTTGTTCCGCCGCTCGGGGGGTGGGGCATCATCCGCCACTGAGGCTGGCGCAGCAGTGGCCACCGCCGCACTCTTGTCTGCCACTCCCGCCTTTGGGCCACTGCCACTGCTGCCATTGGTGCCACTGCTGCTGCTGCCGCCGGTGTCCTGGGGGCCACTGCTGAGGCTCGACATGGTGGGGCCGAGGCCCGGACCCCGCTGCCGGGGGAGCCTGCCAACTGCGGGGGGTCCACAGACAAGCACCGGGGTCCTGCCGCCCAGGACAGAGAGACCTGGTGGGAGTTGCCACTCAGCGCAGGTACATGGTTGGGTGTCCACGTGGAAGTGCTTTCACTCTGTCGGAACAAGAGGATACGGGGTCAGGGCAGTGGTAAACACCTCTGCCACCACCAATGCATCGCCACGGTAACCACCACGGCCTCACCAGGGCATTCATCAAGTGCCAGCCAAAGTTAGGAATTTCTCATTTGTCTTATCTCAGTTAAGACTCATAAAAAACCTACAAACAGTGGCTAGGAATATTCTGTCTGATAAGGTGAGGAAGACAAGGTTTGGGAGAACTGACTGTCCCATGGGTACACGGCCACTCAGCAGTGCGGTAGAGGCTCAGCCGGATCCCCCTTCTTGGGTCTGGGAAGACTTCACGGAGGCAGGCGGTCCTTCCTCTGGGGGGAAGTGGGGGTGGAGAGAGCAGGAGAGCTCCATTAACCTCAGAGGTTACGCTCTGCTTCCTAATCTTTCACTGACCCAATTATGGAGAAGAGGGGTGCACACAGAGCTTGGCAATACAGACCAAAGTATGGAAGCTGCCTCTGGATGCTTTTTTAATTTTTTTGAAGTCACTCAGTCATGTCCGACTCTTTGTGACTCCATGGACGGTAGCCCACCAGGCTTCTCCATCCATGGGGTTTTCCAGGCAAGAATACTGGAGTGGGTTGCCATTTTCTTCTCCAGGGGATCTTCCCCACCCAGGGATCAAACCCAGGTCTCCTGCACTGAAGGCAGACGCTTTACCCTCTGAGCCACCAGGGAAGTCTTCATAATTGTGTGTTTTAAACCTTCAGTCGTGTTCGACTCTTTGCAACCCTGTGGACTGTAGCCTGCCAGGCTCCCCTGTCCACAGGATTCTCCAGGCAAGAATACTAGATTGGGTTGCCATTTCCTTCTCCAGGTGATCTTTCCAACTGAGATAGAACCTAGGTCTCCCGCAATGCAGGCAGATACCATCTGAGCCACCAGGAAAGCCCAAGATGCCTAATATACATTAATTATCTCAAGGCTCTGTCAAGTCCTGCAGGTAAAGGTAAGTGACTTTGTTTCACACAATTTGCCAAATAGAGCACAGAGCCCTTATTTGAAGGAGCACGTACCCTTCTGCTGGAGGGCAGGCAGCCCTATGCCAGAGGACAAGCCTCCTCCTGTAAGAGTAGGGGGCCACCCTTGTGCACCCAGCAGCACATACTCCCCACTCCCTCTCAAACCTTAGGATCCACTCTTGTCTCTAGGCAGGCCTCACTGCTGTGCCCCAGCCTGGCTCCCAGATGGGTCTGGAGGGAGCACCCAGTGGGAACAGAGAGTGCAGAGTGGACTCTGGGCCAAAGGGACCTCTGACTGCTGCAAGTTGGGACCAAGAGTTGGTGTGACCCTCTCAGAAATGGGGTCTGTTCCTTGGCCACATCCATGTGTGGGGGTGCCCCTTCCCAAGACAGAGCCCGTTCTGCTCAGGCCCCAAGACTAAGGCATGTGAGCAGCCAGGCTCCTTGGCCAGAGCTCTGGAAGAAACTGTTCCAGATGGAGCTGAGTGGTAGTTTCCTCATCAGCCCTGGCTCCCTAGCATCTGCCTGCTGCGGCCCAGCAACCCCCAAGAGAGGGGTGGGAGGACAGGGCCCCGCCACGAGCAGCTGGCGACTCAAGGGGGAGGCGCACATCTGGCCGGGCCTGTCCCGCCCTGGGCTTGGGGGTGGTGCACACTGCATCTCTGTCCCCAGGCAACCCCACCATCCCCCAGTCACAGAACTCAGCCTGTCCTGGGAGGTCATCCAGCCCAAGCCTGTGAACTGACAGAAGGGGAAACCGAGGCCCTGGGCAGGCAGGGCCCCTGGCCCAGGACTGCTAAGGAGTGGCCATGAGGAGAAGCGAGTGCCGGCAAGGGAAAAGCTCCGTTCTCCAGGGTGAGGCGAAGGGCAGGCATCAGCAGCCAGCCAGCCACTCTGCCTCCCTAGCAGGTACTGGCCCACCTAAGCTCCTTCGTAGTGAAGGCGGATGAGTGGTGAGGAAGAGCTGGGCAAGCTGGCAGATTCCACTAGGACAAACCCAGGATGGCTTGGCAAGGTGTCCAGACTGGGCCAGGGGGTGCCACAGGGGTCGGAGTCATAGTAAGAGGAAAGGAGGGGGAGTGAATATATGCATCCCAGGACAGCTATGCTCTATTCTACCCACTAAGACTCCAGCCCAGGCTGGCCGTTGGGCCCCTGTCATCAGAGATCAGGGCCCCTCCAGGTATCAGTGACCCCAGCTAGGTGTGGGGGACCATGATCACTGAGAGCAGGGCCAATGACTATTATGCCCAGTCACCCAGGCCCTGCCCATCTGAGCTCAACTACCCTGCCCTGGACCACAGCCCCAGATGCAGGGTGAGGGAAAAGATAGGAAGAGGTAGGCGCCCGCGGGCTGGAAAGGTGGGGAGGGGAGCAGTCTGTGCCCCAGCCCCTCTGTGCGTCCCCCGCCTCTGAGGCCTGCAGGCTGGTGGCAGAAATCGATAGCTGCATTAACGCTGCTTTTGCTCCACTCCCTCCCTCCTTCCAGCTCCACGATCTGGCTCTGCGTGTGGGGCGGGCAGGTCAATTAGAAGTCAGCTCCCTCCGACACAGACACAGACACACAGCCGGGCCTGTGTTCAGGCTGTCTCTCTCTGCTTTTGTCTCCATCCCGAGTCTCTCTTGCTGGGGACCTAATCTCATGTTCTGTTCGTCTCTGGCCCCCTCTTTGAATCTCTCCAATCTTACATTTTTCTGTCCTTCCTCAGGGACTCTCCTCCCCCAGCCCACCGCCCCACCACCAGGCTTCCCCCCGCCCACCAGGTCCTGGGACATGCTGAGCTTGGGCCCAGAGGACGTGATATGTCATGGAACAGGTGCTGCAGGCAGTAAACGCCGGTTTGTCAGCCTCAGAAAGTGAAGCTGGGAGTACGCAAGGACTGGCACACAGGGTAACTCTGTCCTGAAACTCCAGGGTGGGCAGATACCAACCTCTAGTCCCCATGGCCTGGTCCCCAACCAAGGCTGTCCCAGATCTGCCCCATACCTGGCCCATCTCCTTCAGGCCCTGGGAAAAGCTGATGCCCTTGTCCCAGCGGACCACTGACCACAGGGCTCATGGGCCCTACTCATGGAAGGGGAAGACATAAGAGGAGACCTTCTCCCAGGCCCCAGCCTCTACTGCAAGGCACACAGCAACCCTCTCCCAGGCCAGAAAGGGCCTGGCAGTGCCCAGGCGGCAGGGGAGGAGCTGGGGCTGCGTTGAAGCGGAGCGGGAATGAGCGGGAGGGAAAGCTGGCGGGCAGGCGGGCGGCGGCGGGCGCATCCATCATCGGCCCTGCCAGGAACGCATCCAGCCCCCAAAAAGAAATACTGCGCCTGAGGAGGGACAACAAAGGGCTCCGTTTCATCAGCAATGCGGAGCCAGCGCCCCGCCGCCCCGCCAGCCGCGGTCAGCCCACAAAGGACCCCTTTGTCCATGCAGGAGCCGGGCCGGCCGGGAGCTGGGACCAGGGGCTGACGGGCGGGGACAGAGCCCGGGGGTGGGGGTGAGGGGGGAACCAGTCATGGAGCGCTGGGGGGCAGAGGGGGACGTGGGGCCAGAAGAATAGAGACAGGTGGTGGGGATAGAGAATTACGAGACACAGAACTCAAGGGGTGGGTCAGAGTGGGTCAGAGAAAGGGGCTGAGGGAGGACAGAGCAAAGGGTCAAGGTTAGAGCATCATGGGGGGCAGAGACTGGGACAGCTGGGTTCAGAGATGCAGGCTACCTGGCCCAGCCCAGAGATGAGAGGATCTGAGAGACATGGAGACAGAATCCTGAGGAGAATCCCAGACGTGAGGACGTGGGGACCAAGAGAAGGCAGCTGGACATGCCCCTGGGATAGGGAAGTGGAGGCAGAGGTGGGGGAGACCAGATGAGCCCCAGCCCACTCTGGTCCAAGGCCTGGGAGGAAGAGGCAGGAAGGAGGGCTGGGGGTCAGGGGTTCTTGGCCTCAGGGCCGAGCTTTGGGGCCCCACCTCCTAGGGGCTGGAGCTCACTGGCTGTCCTGGGAAGCGAGAGAGAGTGTCAAAGGTGGGGCCACGCCTCCCTCTACTCCCTCTAGTCCCAGAAAATATGGGACACGGCCCCTCCCTAACCTGCTCTCGCCAAGTGACATGCAGGCCCCCTTATCTAAGGGACCCTATTTGCTAGCACTTAGTGAGCACCTACTGTGCCCCAGCCCTGCACTCCCATGTTCTACATGTCCTCTCTCCCTTCTGACTCCTCCCCAGGACCCAAGGAACCGGAACTATGAACCAATTCCTGAGATGAAGAAGTTGAGGTTGAGAGAGGTTCAGGTTGTTGAGCCAAAGTCATAGAGTGGTTCCCTGTAGGGGGAGAACTTGAACCCAGAGCCCAAGCGTTAAGTCACCCTGCTTTGTGACTGCTTTTGCTTTACCCGGGAAAGGTGACCCAGCCACCCCGAGGCTGCCCTCACCCCCTCCCTACGGGTTGTTACCGTGCTTGTCACCTTTACGTGGTTGGGGGCACGAGCTGTCACAGGCCCCAGGGGAGTGTCCCCACAAGGGAGCTTGGAGATATCCAAGCAGGAACAGGGAACGCTGGACTGGTGATGTCATAATGCCAGCTGGCAATGAGGTCACCAGAGGTGGTGGCAGAGCCCTCACTCCACCCTGTGCCAGGGGAGCCCAAATTGTCCTCAGCAGGGCTCTGTCCTGGGTCCTCCAGGCTACACAGCAATGGGCGGGGGTGGGGCAGGAGGGCATGTGGGGTGGGATGGAGCTGTCTGCATGGAGACCTGCACACAGGTGGCCACAGTGACATGTTCTTGACGCTGCACACAGCAGCAGTAGCAGCCCCATGCCCTGTGGTCCTGAGGAGATACAGACCAGACTGGCACTGTTCTGGAGGGTTACAAAGGAGCTGGGCCGATGGGCACATGAACCAACATGACACGGGAGGGTGGGAAAAGGATCGAGCGGGACATCGGGACCTTTCTGGGGGAAGGGGCTGCTTAGACTGTGAGTTAAGGATAAGGAGAGGTTACCAACGTGAACACAAGCTTGAAAGGGTT